AGGTATTTTCTGTGGTAAGATCGACAAAAGGTGTTTAATTAGTGACAAGCGAGGTCCTCCGAGCAGAAATCAAAGTTATCGTAGCAAGTGAAGGAGCAACAGACCTCAAGGCTAGGTCTAGTGGTTTAAGTCAAGAAAAACAACATGTGCGATGAGTGGGTGGCAATTGTCGTGCTTTGGAATTCATGAGAAACACAACGGTTTAGTACATATTAATGCAAGAGCACAATGCAATAGATGAAGGGTATTAGGTTGGAATGGATCAGAAGTATTTTCTGTGATAAGAATGACAAAAAAAAGTGGTTAGTCCATAAGCAAGCAAGGTCATTGAGTGGAAATCAGTTATCATGGGAAGTGAAGGAGCAATCGCCCTCAAAGTCAAGGCCACAAACCAACCACCACATTTAAACTGACAAAAATTTTCTTTGATTAAAACAGGGGCAGGAAATTTTGGTTGTTTCGAAGAAACCCTCCGTGGAGAAAGGCAGTCACCAAACATGTTTGATTTTTTATTTTCAGGACCCTCCTGGAAAATAGGACCTAGTTTAAAGTTTAGAAATAGCATAATCTAGCATAAATGTATCCCAAAGGAATATAAGTTGGTTTAGAAGTTTGCATGCTTGAGATAAGAATCGGTTAAGAGTTTTCAGGACCCTCCTGAATAATGGGACTTAGCTTTAAGATTTCGATTAGATAACAACATTTAGCGTAAAGTCTGTTGTAGGGTAGTATAATTCAGCCATAAAAGTTTCCACTCTTAACATAAAATTGGACTTTTGATTTTCAGGACCCTCCTGAATAATGGAGAGTAGTTTAAAGATCCTCTTAGATAGCAAGATTTAGCAGAAGTCACACCTGTAGAAGATATAACTTAAATTTTAAATTTTCGTTTAGTTAAGAGTTGTCAGGACCCCCCTGAATAATGGGACCTAGCTTTCAAATCCTTAGTAATACTTGGTAATATGATTTAGTTTTACAATCACATTTGTCCCCAACCACCAAACTGGGTCAGGAAATTTTCTTTGTTTTTGTCTGTTTTGTTGAAGTCAAGAGCCCGCCTGGAGAGCAGGGAATACATCTCAAGTTGAAGTCAGGAGCCCACCTGGAGAGCAGGGAATACATTCAAGCGCAGCAGTCAGGAGCCCACCTAGAGAAAAGGGAGTACAATTTAAATTTTAGCTTTCAAATTCTTTGTTTTGTCTATTATGAAGTCAGGAGCTCGCCTGGAGAACAAGGGAGTACAATTTAAGTTTTAGCTTTCAAACTCTTTGTTTTGTCTATGTTGAAGTCAGGAGCCAGCCTGGAGAGCAGGGAATATATTTCAAGTTGAAGTCAGGAGCCCGCCTGGAGAGTAGGGAGTACTTTCAAGTCAGCAGTCAGGAGCCCGCCTGGAGAACAAGGGAGTACAATTTAAATTTTAGCTTTCAAATTCTTTGTTTTGTCAAGTTGAAGTCAGGAGCCCGCCTGAAGAGCAAGGAATACATTTCAAGTTGAAGTCAGGAGCCCGCCTGGAGAGCAGGGAATACTTTCAAGCGTAGAAGTCAGGAGCCCGCCTGGAGAACAAGGGAGTACAATTTAAATTTTAGCTTTCAAATTCTTTGTGTTGTCTATCTTGAAGTCAGGAGCCCACCTAGAGAACAGGGAGAACTTTCAAGTTGAAGTCAGGAGCCCGCCTGGAAAGTAGGGAATACTTTCAAGTCAGCAATCAGGAGCCTGCCTGGAAAGCAGGGAATACTTTCAAGTCAGCAATCAGGAGCCCGTCTGGAGAACAAGGGAGTACAATTCAAGTTTCAGCTTTCAAGTTCTTATTGATATTTGGTAATGTGATCCATTTTACATTTACATATATGCCCAGCCACCAAACCGGGGTAGAAAGTTTTCTTTGTTTTGTCTATTTTGTTGAAGTTAGGAGCCCACCTGGATAGCATGGGAATATATTCACGTTTTGGAGCCAGGAGCCCGCCTGGAGAGCAGGGAATACATTTCAAGTTAGCAGTCAGGGGCCCCGCCTGGAGAATAGGGTCAGTTTTTACTTTAGTCAAGCTTAGTTTATAGTTTCCTAGTCTATTCTTTAGTTTAATTTCATCATTGCATCAATAATACAAGTGGTTTAAAATTTTGCTAACAACTCACAAATCTTCCTAGTGCAAACTGGGGCAGAAAAATTTCTTTGTTTTGTCTATTTTGTTGTAATCAAGCGCCCACCTGGAGAACAAGGGGAAACAACTCAAGTTTCTAGGGAAAGCAGTGTCGAAGAAAGACAACTCGAGTTTCAAGGGAAAGCAGTTTCGAAGGAAGACAGTTCAAGTTTCAGGGGAAAATGGTTCAAGGCGCAAAAGAAAATAGTGTCAAGTAACAAGAGAAGATGGTTCGAGTTCAACAGTCAGGTGTCTACCTGAAGAAAAGGAAAAACATCTCAGATTGCAATTCAAGTCAACAACCAAAGAATCTCGCGGCAAGAATGCGAGTCAATAGTCCGAGGTGATCAACAGAAGTTAGTCACAATAAAGAAAAAGAGAGAAAGGCAAGAGGTGAATCCAAATGCAGAAGTTGATGAAAGATGTGAATTTCTTAAGACGTGGTGGAAGTCACAAGCACTACATGTCCGCTCCTGACCCAAAAGCTGTAGAAGAACGAGCTAGCACCTGCAGCTAACAAGCGCCAAGGTTCAAATCTAAAGTCTGCATGAAGAACCATTCAAGACTCAAGATCAAGCTTCAGAAGACTTATAGATAGGAATCTTGTAACTCGTAGTTGACAGGTTTAGTTAGTCTTTTTCATTTAATTTTTGATGTAATAACAGGGGCCGCGGACTGGAACCTCGAGTGAACGGCATCTCGACCGGATCTCCACCTCGGCATACTCCGTCATCTCACTCATTTCTGAACTACACATGGCCTGATTCCTTTATAGCCAAGGATATATAGGCAGCCCGGATACCAGGGCTCGGTCACATTCCCTTTCTCTCTCAGTTTTAGTCTCTCCAAATAAGATTCGGGTCAAAAACCTGTCTAGTCAGTCTTTGTCTGAAAACTCTGTACGTTTTCAGTTAAAGAGGGGCAGANAGCTCGCCGGAGAAAACACCAACGACCCCTAAATGTTAATCGTCATATGACCCCGTCTATGCCTGAAACTCACCAGAAAAATGAGCTCCACCAGCTAATCGGATTAACGAGTTCCAGACGTGACAAACAGAACCAAGCAACCTCACCCAACTCACCATCGTCGTTGGACCTCCGTTCACCGCGAAACTGCCATTTCTGGCGAAGCTTCACGTCACAAACGACCAGCCAACACCATGAACAGCCATGCACAGCAGTAGCCAATCTCCTCCCGTTCATTCTGTCACGAAAAACATGACCCTCATCTCCCTCTCACCGGAAAACACTTACACATAGCCACACATACGCACAGAGCGGGAAAGGGACAGTAGCGAACCCGTCGAGTTTTGTGAGCATGAGAGGCACATGGATATGGTTTCAGGCTTCACTTGGTTTATTAAAAACTATCGTCCATTCAATCTATTGAAATCGCGATCGAGGTACAGTCGGAGATTCGAGTTTGTCGTCGATGTCATCGTTGAGTTCTCCGGTCAGTAAAAGTCCCGCTAGAATCGCCGACGTATGTTTTGGTCGGGCGTTAGTCAGTCGTTGGATTTCCGTCCGAGGTCCGTCGGGATCCTTCTCACTATTTTTGATTCTTCTGCACTAGAAGATTTCAGTTTTTTTTAATTAAAAGATCAGTTCCTTTATTGCTCCATTTTCAAATAGTTTTGATGGACTTTGCTGGTGCACTACTGCTTCATTTTCATGTATGGTTGTTTTAGGATAACATATATCGTCAGTAGTGTATGCCTTAACCACTGATGTTTGGTTGTTTCTGTGAATTAACTTTCGCTGTGTGGAACCAGGATAAGTATATGCCTTAACAATAATTTGAGACGTAGGTTTAATGTTTAAAACATGTAAGAGTTATAAATAGACTATAAGAGATAACGACGAGACTATTCTGTTTGGATTAATTCGCATTAGTTTGGATTCGTGTCATAGTTTAATTACATATTGGTCTAATAGGTAGAAATGACCATTTCTGATAAATTGAAAACATAGAAAAAATAAATGTGTAATTGTTTTAGGCGTGATGTTTTGATAATTTACTTTTCTTAACTCGGGTGTGCATTTCATGTGACCCTACCATAATTTTGAATAATGATAGTAGAAGTAAACATGTTAAAACCCGGGGGTGCATTTCATGTGACCCGGTTCTAATTTCCAACAAGGTTAAATAGAGCGTGTCGTGAACCACGAGTACATTTCATGTGGTGTGGCTTGCGATATGTTTTAAATGACCTTGAATTAATTCTTTAAATAAGTAAAAGCGGTTTTCCAAAAGTTAGAAAAAAACACTTAGGTTTCAAAGATTTTTTAAAATCAGATAATTAAGCCGATTATAACAGTTGAGCGACTGTGCTAGAACCACGGAACACGGGAATGCCTAACACCTTCTCCCGGGTTAACAGAATTCCTTACCCGGATTTCTGGTTCGCGGACTGTTAAACAGAGTCAAACTTTTCCTCGATTCGGGATTAAACCGGTGACTTGGGACACCATAAATCTTCCAAGTGGCGACTCTGAATCTTTAAATAAATAAATCTCATTTCGATTGTCCTTTAATTGGAAAAACTCCCTTATACTATAGCCTTTTACGGGTATGGGTAAAAAGGAGGTGTGACAGTTATTGTACTATTCTTAAGTAATACCCTTTTCTGCATTAGCCACTGATTGATTTGCATTATCATCTGCTGTGAGTATAGTATTACCTTGTACTCCATTCTGAAACCTCTTGTTTTTAGTGAACTTAAAGTCTGTAGGGAAACCAATGATTCTGTAGCACCTTTCATTTGTATGTCCAGGTTTCTTGCAATAGTTGCATATGATATTGTTTCTTTTTCCTTCAAAGTTTTCCTTATTCTCTATATTAACAAATTTCTGGGCACCTTACTACTGTTTTGCATCCATGAAAGCAGAGTCAACTGGATGTTGAGCAGCATGAATTTCCTTCTGTTTCTCCTCTTGGATTAACAGAGAATAAGCATGATTGATACTTGGAAGTGGAGATCCCATCAGAATGTTGCTCTTTACCCCAAAGTATGCCTCATTTAGTCTCATGAGAAACTGAATGAGCCTACCATCTTGTTGAGATTTGAGAGATCTGTTCTTTCCTCCACAAGAGCATTCACAACTGCAATGGACACAGGTATCAAAACTATCCGATTCATCCCAGATTCTTTTGAACTTAGTGTAGTATCCAGCAACATTAGAATTTCCTTGAACTAAGTCACTAAGTTCCTTTTGCAGTTGATAAAGGAGAGCTCCATTGCTCTTCCCAAACCTGTCCTCCATCTCCTTCCGTATTTCTTTGGCAGTTTTTGAATAGAGAACGCTCTTAGCAATTTCTTTGGAGAGTGATTCAATAGCCAGGAGATCACCATGTCATTACACCTATTCCAAGCCTTAAAAGAAGGAGAACAAGCTGTTGGCTCAGTGATAGATCCATCTATGAATCCAAGTTTGTTCTTGGCTGAGAGAGCTATGAAGACAACCCTACGCCAACCTCCATAACTCTTACCATTGAAGATTGAGTTAACAAGGATCATCCCTGGTGAGTCTGATGGGTGAAGGTAAAAGGGATAAGAAGATTCATTAGTGACAGTGGGCTGAATGGACTCAGTAGTGGTGGAAGAACCAGAATCCACAGATGGATTTGCTAGAGAAGGAGGCAAATCAGAGTTTGTCATTAGAGAGATTTTCTAAGAAGCTTGAAGAAGAAGAAAGATCGGATCAAGAACCTTGTTGCTCTGATACCACAATAGAAAAAACAAGAATTTAGAAGAATTTTCTGATTGTGTATTTATCTGTTCACTGTACATGTGTAAATATACAAAGCAAAGAGAATAAAATTTGTTATTCATATCCTACGTGTCTTAGTGATATTGCTCTATGTATAACAAACAAGGAATATGTAAATAAGAATACAACAAATTCTGATATCTACAAGTTTCTCACACTCTTCTCACGTGTGAAGAATTCTCTAGAATTTAGTATTAGTTGCTTGCCATGTGTCTTTCCGTCAACACAGATGGATGGCTCTGATTTGTTTAATCTCATCAAAGATGAAGGTCTCAGATTCCTTTGATTAAGCAAAGATAAAATGGTCTGATTATTCTTGGATGTATCGAGATTGAACTTCCAAACTCTCTGTTGTCTTTCTTCTTCTTGTCTCTCTAATTCATCTCTGCTTGGTAAATCTATATATGCCTTAGAGATATTACAAAAGCTGATTGCAACAAATATTTCTTATTAAAATTATGTAAGAACTCCTAATATTTAGGATTGTAAATGAGTACTATTATTTTGTAAAAATTGCATGGGGGCCCTATTTGGTCGCCCCTTTTAACTTATACCCGTTTCATTTTTCTGCTTGCATCCTTACTCATTTTTTTGTTAAAAGAATTTTAAAAAGACACTTTTACCCTTTAAGGCTATTAACAAAACTGTAGACTGGATGTGTTTGTTTTAAAAGTAAATTCTACATTCTGAGGTCTTAAACCTCTTTCTATCACACCTCGACTTGCGTGCACAGTCCAAGCACGTAGCCTAAAAGCCAATATATGAAAATTTGTGAAAAATGATGAAATTTGGCTTTAAAATGAATTAAGTTGACTTTGGTCAACATTTTAGGGCAAACGGACCCAGACCCGTAATTTGACAATCCCGGAGGGTCCGTAGGAAAATATGGGACTTGAGTGTATGCCCAGAATCAAATTCCGAGGTCCCAAGCCCGAGAAATAAATTTTTAAAGAATATTTTCTGAAATATTTATGATTTTTTGAAAATTAAATGTATTTAAAACTTGATGGTATCGGGCCTGTATTTTGGTTCCGGCACTCGGTATAGGTCTTATATGTGATTTAAGATAAGTTTGTGAAATTTTGTAATAAACGGACTTGAGATGACGTGAATCGGATCGTATTTGAGAAAAATTTGGAAAATTTGAGGTTTTTAAGAAATTTCATGATTTTGATGCTAAATTCCCAATTTTTGATGTTATTATAATGATTTGAATGCACGAGTGAGTCTGTATGATGTTTTTAGGCTGGTATAAATGTTTGATTTGAAGCCCCGAGGGCTCGGGTGTGTTTTGGATATGCGACGGGGTGGATTTTGGACTTGGAAAGTTGCTGACTTCAGCTGTTGCATTGCAGGCTTGCAGGCTTCGCATTTGCAAAGCCTGGCTCGCAAATGCAAACGCTTTGTTGCAAATGCGAAAATAGCCCAGGCCAGCCTACCTCGCAAATGCGAGGGATTTACCGCAAATGTGATCCCCCAGTTTGTAGCCAGTCGTCGCAAATGCGACATGTTATTCGCAATTCCCACTTTGAAAATGCGAAAGTTGCTTCGTAAATGCAAGCTTAGCAGAAGACTGGGTTCGCAATTGTGAACCCTGGTCGCAATTGCGACATCTGCAACCTGCAATTTTATAACTTAGCCGAAAATCTTTAATTTTGCACGCTCTTTCAAAACCAAAACACTCTTGGGCCATTTTCCAAAGACAACTCTTTTTCCAAATCGATTGTAAGTCAATTTTAACTCATTTTCTTCAATCATTAACATCTTTTCACATGATTTTAACTCAAAATCAATGATTTTCATGGGAAAATTGGGTGTTTTGGGTAGAACCTAGGTTGTTCAAAAATTGGGGAGTTGGACCTCGATTTGAGGTTCGATTTCAAAACAAATTATATATTTGAGCTCGTGGGGGAATGGGTAATCGGGTTTTGGTTCGAACCTCGGGTTTTGACCATGTGGGCTCAGGGAGATTTTTGACTTTTTGGGTAAAATTTTAGAAAACTCATTTTCATGCATTAGAATTGATTCATTTAGCATTTATTGATGTAATTAAGTAACTTGTGACTAGATACGAGTGAATTGGTGGTGGAATCAAGAGGTAAAGCAATAGTAGAGACTTGAATTGTGTTTGTGGCATCGAGGTAAGCATTTGGTCTAACCTTAGCTTGAGCGATAAGGAGTCGAGTCCTATTTGCTATGTGGTATTTGTTGAGTACGACGTATAGTCATGGTGACGAGTATCTATATGTTGGTGTCAAGCATGCCCGTGAGTCTTATATTGTGGTTATTATGACTTCATTGTATAATTCATGCTTTGGTGATGATTTCCATTGTTGGGAAATGTTTGTGAAAGTAATTATGACATTTGAATATTGAGGAGCGTTGACTCAAGTTGTATAACGAAATGTGAAAGTATAAGTGGTAATTGAACCTTTTAGAGTATTGGCTCAAGTTGTGAAGTGAGTGAGAAGTAAAAGTGAAAAAAAAGAAGAGAATCTTTATATTATCTCCCTTGCCGGGATATTGTTGCTTTTAATGTTATCTCCCTTGCCGGGATATTGTTGCTTTTAATGTTATCTCCCTTGCCGGGATGTTGATGCTTCTTATGATGTTGTTCCCTTGTCGGGACTTGATTGTTGAACTATTATTACCTTGCCAGGATTCTTATTGTAATTTCATTTATCCCATTGCCCTATTATTTGTGATTGTTGTTTGTGTGAGGAAGAATGTTAAAGCACGAAGGGTGATGCCATGCATATTTTCATTACTTGATTGCTTTGGTGAGGACGAGAGTAAAATCACGAAGGGTGAAGCCGTATATGATTTGTGAGGAAAGAGTGTAAAGCACGAAGGGTGATGTCGTGCCGCACGATGTACCATTCCGTGCCAATTATATTGATTATATGGTGAGGTAGAGAGTAAAAGCACGAAGGGTGATACCGTGCACATTTTTCATTATTTGATTACTTTGGTGAGGACGAGAGTAAAAGCACGAAGGGCGATGCCGTGCAATTACTGATTCCTGACTCTTTGTTGATATCTGAGATATGTTGTCTCTTTTAATTACCCGTTGTCTTTCTATTCTAAATTGATAGTTCCCCGCACTATGTTACCCATCCCATACTTGACTGTATATTTTTGTTCTTCTTTTCCGCTGTATATAGTTAAATTCCACAGGTTTATTTGGCATTCTGGTCCTAGCATCGTTACTACTTCGCCGAGGTTAGGCTAGGAATTTACCAGCACATGGGGTCGGTTGTGCTGATACTACACTCTGCACTGTGTGCAGATCCTATAGCAGGAGCTTTTGGAATGTAGGTCGGGTGGCTGCCTTCAGTCCATACGGAGATTCAAGGTAGTTCTGCAGGCCCTAGCATCTCCCTCTATCCCTTTACTCCAGTTTTATTTACTTAGTTCAGAAATAGTGTATCTTTTATCTTTCAAACTTTTTCTGTAGTATTCCTAGATCGTCTCTGAAACTGTGACACCAATTCTGGGTAGTCGAGACTCAAATAGTTGTTTTGGATACATATTCAGATAATTTATTGTTTTTCTTCCACTTATTGTAAATTCCGATATCTACACGTTATTGTTTTATAATTGTTAAAGAATATAAAATGGATAAAAAGGTAATTTATCCAAACAGTCGGCTTGCCTAGATCACATTAGTAGGCGTCATCACGACTCCTAAGGGCGGGAAGTCCGGGTCATGACAAGTTAGTATCAGAGCACTAGGTTACATGGGTCTCATAGTTCATAGGCAAGCTTAGTAGAGTCTGAGGGATCGGTACAGAGACTTCTGTATTTATCCCCCAGAGCTACAGAGATAGGAAAAACTTCACATTTATTCTTTGTTGTCGTGCGATTTGGTTTCCCAATGCTAATTGAACTTCTACTATGTTCCTTCGCAGATGGCGAGAACACACGCTTCCTCATCCACTGACTATCAGCCCAAGCCCCTAGCAATTGCTCCCACGAGGGTCAAAGGGCGAGGTCAAGGTCGTGCTAGAGGCCGAGGTAGGGGCAGAGCTAAGCCTAGAGCAGCAGCACCAACGGCGGAGCCTCAGTTTGACTTTGATGATGAGGTTCCAGCCCATACAGTTCTGGTGGGCCCAGCTCAGGTCCAAAAGGGGTTTATTGCTACCCCAGTACTCCAAGATGCTCTGGTCCGTTTAGTGGGCCTTATGGAGAGTGTCACCCAGGCAGGCTTGCTTCCTGTAGTGCCAGCCGTCTCTCAAGCTAGAGGAGGAGCCCAGACTCCTGCTACTCGCACTCCGGAGCAGGTAGCTCCCTAGTTCCAGACTCCAGCAGTTTAGCCAGTTGGAGCAGTTCAGCAGGGTGTGGTAGCTCAGACCGGTGATGGAGAAGCTATGTCTGTCTATGCTTTGTGGAGGTTGGACAGGTTCACCAAGATCTTCACTACTACTTTCAGCGGTGCATCTTTTGAGGATCCCCAGGATTATCTAGACAGTTGTCATGAGGTTCTCAGAAACATGGGGATAGTGGAGACCAATGGGGTAGATTTTGCTACTTTTTGTTTGTCTGGATCCGTCAAGACTTGGTGGAGATTATTGTTTGGCTAGACCAGCCGGATCGCCAGCTTTGACTTGGGAGCAGTTTACTCAGCTATTTTTAGAGAAGTTTCTCCCCATCACTCAGAGAGAAAGATCTATCGGAGGTAGTTTGAGTGTCTCTAGTAGGGTTCTATGACTGTTACTCAGTATGAGACTAGATTCATCGACTTGCCTCGTCATGCTCTTATCATACTTCCCACCGAGAGAGAGAGTGTGAGGAGGTTCATTGGGGGACTTATTCAACCGATTCGATTTCAGATGGCCAAGGAGACTGGGAGTGAGATTTCTTTACAGGAGGCGGCCAATGTGGCCAG